TAAACTGGTGTTTACTACCCTATGACTGTTGACCAGTCACATGATAAACTGGTGTTTATTACCCTATGACTGTTGACTGGTCATGTGATAAACTGGTGTTTATTACCCTATGACTGTTGACCAGTCACATGATAAACTGGTGTTTACTACTCTATGACTGTTGACCAGTCACATGATAAGCTGGTGTTTACTACCCTATGACTGTTGACCAGTCACATGATAAACTGGTGTTTACTACTCTATGACTATTGACCAGTCACATGATAAACTGGTGTTTACTTCCCTTTGACTGTTGACCAGTCACATGATAAACTGGTGTTTACTACCCTATGACTGTTGACTGCTCATGTGATAAACTGGTGATAAACAGTGGTCAAATAGTATAGGCCATCTGACCAACCAAGTATTTCTTTCTCTGCCCACCCTTGTTCCCATGCACACACATTAAAAAATCTGTGCACTATCATCCAGGCCAACAAGAGTGATCAATATAAGTTGATAGAACTTGTTATGCAATGATTGAAACAATAAACAAAGTTCAATTAAAGATGTAAGATTATTAATTTTACAGGTATCATGCGGTCAGTTAAGAAATCTGATGTTGTCAGGACGCAGATTCATCGCCTAGAAAAACTCCAAGCTCTTCAGATGGTACAGACCCAGAAAGTGAGCACATACAATAGCTATCTGTTTGTGTCTGTATTCATACAGTTTTAGTTACACTTGTTTCTTATTTTCCACTTTTTGAGTAATTCATTTATACATAACTGATTATGTTTTGCCTAGTTCTTTAGATTGTGATACTATCGCTCCAACCGATTAAGCTACCTGGTCAACAGAAGGGTTCTGTCACAACCATGCTACAGCTACATCCAAAAGAAAATTAAGGGGAGGTTACTGTATATATGAAAAACCCCAGTGCAGTGGGACAGGAATACATAAAATCTAAAACCAACATTATTCAAAGGTCATTTTTGTGTCGCCTGCGACGGATGTCGGAAAGACACATAGGCGTTCCTTTTCGGCGTCGTCAACAATGTTAAGGTTTTCTTTTAGCTCTGTTTCTGACAAAGCTACACCAACGAAACCTCGATCATAGATGTAGCATGAGTAGTGGAGCCTACTGCACTAAAAACATTTCATTGATTTCTGCATTTTTTTGGTATAAAACTCAAATTTCTGGACTCAGAAAAAAACTCAACATTAAGGTTTTGCGTTTATCTCTTGCATATTAGGCTCTTTTTGACAAAGTATAAGAGCTAGACCAATCAAACCTCAATCATACATGTATCATGGGTACTAGAGCCTACTACTCTGAAAACATTTCATGGATTTCTGCACTTTTTTGGATAAAAACCTGAAATTTCTGGACTTTATAAAAAATCAATGTTGTGATTTTGCGTTTAGGTCCGTTTCCTTACGTACTACCTGTCAAAGACAAAGCGGGACAGGCGACACATATTATTACGCGTAATTCTTGTATGTGGATTGGGTGTAAATCTGCAACTTTTAAACATTATAATCTTTTAGTTTAATTTTGAAAAGCTGGATGATCTCGGCTTACTGATTCCTTTTGTTTGGTTGACAGGTTGGACGCCGGGTAGAGGACTTAATGGTGATCTATGACCTCGAACGTCTTGGGATGAAACATCTATGGAAGCCCGGCGTAGACTTGTTCTGCGAAGTCATTGATATGTTTGAATGGCACTATCCGGAAACTCTCAAGCTGGTGTTTGTTATCAATGGTAATATTTCCACCAGTCTCCACAACACATCTCCAGCACACACGCAGGCATACACACATAGGGAGATATTAGCCAGGTGCCATAGGACTAGTAGTTAGCGCCTGATAAGGCAGCTCATGCAAATTCCTCAAAATTGTATCATTTAATGTATGTGTTAATTAAATTGAGTGTATAATTGTATATCTATGTTCTGTATGCGCTTTAGAGTGGATTATTCTAGCCAGATAGGGCGCTATATCAAATGTTGTATATTTTGTTTTATATATTTGATCAAGTGACCAGTTCTAAATTACATGGATCATTTCATTGTCATATAAAATGCCCATTGCATTCCAATTTTTGTGTCAGAGATTATGTGTTGACCATGAGGGCTTAATGCGAGAAAAGGCCCAAAATAATGTTTTGTTTCCAGTTAACCTACATATTCACTCTTTTTGTTCCTACCCTAAACCTTTTTTTTTTTTGAGGAGGGGGGGGGGGGGGTTAATTTTCAAGGAACCACTCGTACTGTTGGTCAAGATTTCTTCTGGTATTTTTGTTTAGCCTGAAGTCTTTTGAGTTTCATGATTTTGTGTCATAGTGTTTATTTTGTTCTGTTAGTACTCAAAAGTTTTTAGTGAAACAAGATACATATCAACTACATTACCACTGATGTTAATCTTGTGAACAGATTAAAATGTGTCTAACATATACATGTAAAATAACACCTCATTATACTGCCACCATTTGTCCAGAGGAAGTTTGGCGTTATAAAGGGGTGTGGCAATAAATTGAAGGAAGAAAAGAATAAAGGAATTTTTAAGAAAACGAGGAAAAAGGACCTTGAAACATGTTGGCAGTAATAGAGGTGGCAGATGAAAGGAGGGGCATTATATTGAAGTTTTATTGTATATAAAAGTGTATATAAGTTTCATTTTTTCTCTATTTTGTTTTTTATTGTTATTAAAATGAATTCCTAACAATATTTTTCTCACTTTCTTTTGCAATGATGTCGCTTTCGGCACCAATGTTCATATGACATTAGGTGTTGCAAGGATGTGAAACCACACACAAACGATTATCCTCACATAATTATTATTTTGATGTTTTAGCTCCGAGATTCTTCCCGATTATGTACAACTTAATCAAACCATTCCTGTCTGAAGGCACTGCCAGTAAAGTTAGAATATATGGTTCAAGTAAGTCAACATCTATAGTACCACAGATAATTTGTTCTTCAACAGTTTACAGGTGCGTTTCTGTTGTTGCTAGGGAAAAGATAAACCTGTCTTGCAGACATTGACCAAGAATTTTTTGCCGAAATAATTAATGTTTAATAACATGAAATAAAGAAAATATTAATGATAAAGGAAGACAAGTAATTTCACTGAGGACTTTTTCTCTCACTATATTGTAATTATCATTGAATCATATACATCATAGGAAATATCTTCATAGACGACTTGGTCTATGAAGTAAACGATTCTCATAGACCTACAGTGTTTTTCTCTGTGATTGTCTATTGGTCTTTACCGTTAAGCTTTGAAAGCAGAAAAGAAAAATTACATCTGTGTAATCTAGACAGAGAAGTCTGAACCATTTTTGAAACTGGTCAAACAAGAGCGAGTGTCGTGAGTTGACATTTCTCTGCCTACACAGTAACACTGCACAGGTACTGGTAAAGTGTCATTGTGTTTTAATTTTGATACTATAATTGTGCAATAGCACTAAAAAGCATACTGCTTCATAGGTGTTGTTTTGATATGTAATTATTCCATTGGGCCTGTACTGTAGCAAGACAGGGCTAGACAATTAAAATCTCCAGCTGGACTAGTGGTTCAAAAATTGCTAGCCTGATTTAATGGTCAAAGTTTTGAATCGCTTATCTTGTTGATTAATAATATTGGGTTAGTGGAATGTGCACATGGACTAGTAAAGATAGGAAACTACTTCCCCAGTAGACTAGTGGTATTTAAAGTTAATGTCTAGCCCTGATGACAAACCGCTGTAATCATGGTTAAGTAATATTTACCTGTGTTTTGTTTTGACAGGTAACTATACAGGTGAACTTCTAAAATACATAGATGCAGACCAATTACCTGTGGCATATGGTGGGACCATGAAAGATGATGCAGGCGACCCCCGCTGTAGTGCTCTGGTAGGTCTGGAAGTGGCCAGTAGTATCTGTGCCAATATCTGTTCTTAAGGATCCCTGTCCCACTGGACTGTGCTTTTCCTATATACAGTAAGCTTCCCTTAACTTTCGTTTGGATATACCTGTAGCACAGTTGAACCAAGTATCCTTCAATTAATCTGTTTCTGTTTGCCAATACATAGTTATGGGACAGGTATCCTTAAACTATCTGTATATGTTTTTCAGTACATAGATGTGGGACTGATATCCTTAAATTATCTGTATATGTTTGTCAATACATAGTTATGGGACAGGTATCCTTAAACTAAGCTGTATCTGTTTTGCCAATACATATTTATCGGACAGGTATCCTTAAATTATCTGTATATGTTTGTCAATACATAGTTATGGGACTGATATCCTTAAACTTAGCTGTATATGTTTGCAATTACAAGTACTCTTTACCGTATCAGGTGGTGTGTCAACACTATTTTTGCTTTACCTGTATATGTGTGTTAACAATTCCTTTACTTTACTTGTACAGTTGTGTCAACACTTCCTATACTTGACATGTACAGTTGTGTGTACAGTTGTGTCAACACTTCCTATACTTGACATGTACAGTTGTGTGTGTCAACACTGCCTGTACTTTACCTGTACAGTTGTGTCAATACTATTCTAGTTTTACCGGTAAAGGTGTGTCAACTTGTCCTATACTTTACATGTACAGATGAGTCAACACTTCCTATACTTTACCTGTACAATTGTGTCAACACTTCCTTTACTTTACATGTACAATTGTGTCAAAACTACCTGTAATTTACCTGTAAAGTTGTGTCAACACTATTCTAATTTACCGGTAAAGGTGTGTCAACTTGTCCTATACTTAACATGTACAGATGAGTCAACACAATCTTCAGCTCCTCTGTACAGGTATTACAGTACTAGAACTGTATTCACTTAAAAGTACCGTGCTAATATTTTTCACACTTTTTTCTTATCAGCGGGATAAAACTGTCATTTCTTATTTCTGTTTGATACCAAAATATATTAACTTCCATTTAAAACCATACTCAGTGTGTGAAACTTGTTAAAGATATAAAACAAAAAAGTAATTTAATTTAAATTTCTTTCATGCTATAAATAATGCAATGATTTACATAGTGTCACACATGCCAAAATGGGCCCCTTTATAATAACAACATTTCTTGTCTAATTTTTCGGCTATTATGATCATTTTATTTTTAATATTACTTCATAAATCAATCATAAAGTCTTTAAGCAAACCAAGTGATGTAATAGTATTGTGTAAACATTACGTCTGACTAAGTTGAATACTTCGACGCCATTCATTTGTTTTTGCTCTCCTGACATCTTGTGAATTTTGCATATATGCTAATTGTTCATAGCTTAAACGCTTTAACCCTGCCCCCGGTGAGATAAGTAGCAGTCGGGAAAAGGCTTCACATACTTATATGTAACATAAATATAATTCATTTCATACCAATATACTTATAACTTATTAACATGTATGACATTTTATAATTTTAATTTTAACAGATTGCGCGATGGTAATTTTAAGCTGGATTGGTACATAAAATACTATTGTTTTTACCTGTACAGGTATGTCAAGGCGGAGATGTACCTAAGGATTTGTACTCTAAAGTGAGTATCAACACACTGGACATAGACAAGTACACAGCAGTGACTATAGGTCGGGGGTCGTCCATACAAGTAGACCTGAATGTGACGGAACCAGACAGTGCCATCAGGTAAGCATGATAACGTTGTCATTATCATGTTTTTACCACCAGTTACAGAAGTCTACTTAAATCATCATGTACTGCAGAAAAAAACAAAGTTCTTATTAAATATTTAGCATTATATAAACCCCTGTGGCTACAGTTATGTTATGCAGAGGTATGGCCCCTGTTAAATAATCCAATTCATATGAATATGAGGGCCCGTTGTGGCCAAGTGATTAAGGCGTCTGACATCCTGCTACCACTAGCCCTGCACCACTGGATTGCGGGTTCGAAGCCTACGTGGGGCAGTCACCAGGAACTGTCCGAAGGTCGGTGTTTTTTCTCCAGGAACTCTGGCTTTCCTCCACCACCACTGATACACCAACATGTGAATTTTCTTCCGATTAGAAAAGCATTCAATCAATGAAATTACATAAACAAGTCTTAACTCATTTACCCCTGAAGACACATTTGAACTCTTCCAGTTCAAAGGTTGGAATAGTTTATTATGAAATTTCAGGGGTGAATGAGTTTAATTGTCAATATTCTGTGTAAAAGCAATTACATGTACAATGTTCTGGTTCAGTTTAAAACACTTTTAATGAAAATCTCCCTACTCTAACTATTGAGAACGAAATCTCCATACGATGTGTTCTGAAGACATCACACGTGTGAAACACAGTCATATGATGTCATATATGAACATCTCTTTATTTACAGGTGGCAGTTCATCACCGAGGGATTTGACCTTGGGTTCGGGGTGTACAAGCGGACTAAGGACAGTAGACAAAAGGCAAATGACATGGAGGAGGTGATCCCATCGGAACGCGTCAACAGTCACATGTTTCCCGAGGACGGGAGTGTCATCGTTCAAGAGCCTGGCACATGTAAATTTAATTCCATAAATTTCTTTTAATATCATGATATTCATGCCTCAGGGATTTATCGGGCTACGTTTTAGGTCTGCATAAAGAAACCATTCTCAATTGAGAAAAGGTATATTTTTTCAAATTTTTCCCCCCATAAAATTTCCCAAGAAGGGAATCTAAACATATTCATGCATAGACTTAAATGAATTCCTCACAAATTACCACGTTCTCAAAATGCAGCATATTTTGGAATGACAGAATGATGTTGTCATAAAGATAAGCTTAAAATAAAAGTTTAACGGTCTGATTTCGTGTACTCCGAGTACTGTAACTGTTTTCCCGAGTTGTTTCTGATGTTGTTGAACTGTTTCGGGATTCAAAATGAGTGTCTAAACACAGTAATACAAAAATATTCACGAATTTTCCGAATTTTCTTTTAAAAATTGCCCAAAAAAAAATCATTTTACAATTATTTCCAATCTGTGTGGGAAAAACCAGCCTATGTTTTTCCACCAAACAGCTAGAGTACAACTTTTGGTACAAGTATGCCATTTTCGGAAGTGTTATAGATTGCTATTAAAAATTACCTGTGGAATATGACTCCAAGCTGTTTATGCCCCATGTTTCAATTCATGAATACGCTGTAGAGATTTTAAACAATGGTACACGAAAAAGAATCATCTAAATACAAGAAAATACAAAATTATTATCCGTTGTTATAGGGCCTTTGCACCAAGCCAATATCTTTCCCAACTACCTGGGGAGCATACAGCCGGTGCTGCCATTTCGGCACTCACAGCTAACATTCAACAGTTCTAGCACTGCCCAACCACCTACTCATTTACAGCTGAGTAGACTGGAATAAGCGGAGTAAAGTATCTTGCTCAAAGATACAACACAATGTCATGACTCGAACTTGCAACCCTTCGGTCACGAGCCTGGCAACCTACCACTAAACTACCGTGCCTCCTAAATTATTATATTCAGTTTCATTCTCGATTAATGTCAAAGAATGTGAAATTGTAAATATTTTCAATTCCATTTCCAGATGTTGTGAGATTTGACAACACATACAGCTGGACCAGAAGCAAGAAGATATACTACATCATAGAAATGTTAGAACCGGACGTAGAAGATGAGTTTGAGCTGGCTAGTGAAAGTCCTATGTGATATAGGAAGGACAAAAAGTTTGGAAATGAATACAGAAGATTGTAACGCTAAAAAAGACAACACATGTGATAATGGAAGAAAGAAAAAAGAAGAAAAGGATGTGGAAGATTGTGACACGAAAAAAAGGCCCTTAACCAAGTGTTGTTAACACATGTGATAATGAAAGAACGAAAAAGTCGGATAAAAATACAGAAGATTGCAGTGCTAGTAAAAATGAAATCCTACAAGTGTTGTGTATGAACCCCATGTAATAGTGTAAGAAAGAAAAATTTAGAAATAGACAGAAAAAGAGGTGGATGTGCTAATGAATATGACTCTGATGCCCATGGGTGTAGGACAGGGAAATTCCACCCAGGGGTTTTTAAAGTGGGCAAAACTCTAGGATTGTCAAGGGTTTTGCTCCAATTTGAAAATCGCAAGGGTGATTTATTTTCATATCCTACACCCTTGGGCAAGAAGGGAGTTTTTTTTCTCTTATTCCAATCACCAGAATTAGCCCAGAAACCACCTAAGTTGTTACAATTTCCGTATTGTGCCATTAGAATATTCTCTATTTGGTGACAACGCCATGTCATTTTTGTCTCATTGTGACGTCACACACCTAAGATAGAAATTTCTTGCACCCCTTTTTACCTGGACAGTTCTGTCTTATACACACAGGAATGAGAGAAAATCTTTACCGTACCCTGTGCTGTTAACCCCATGTGATAATGTAGGAGTTTTAAATTTTAGAAAAGTACAGTGAGATTGTTAGTTCTACTGAATGTCCTACCAAGTGTTGCTAACCCCCATGTGATAGGTACAAACATGTTAGGAATTTGTGTAGTTACAGAAGATGAGTTTGGAATGGTGTATACGTAGTGCCACCAATAGTTGCTCACACGTTTTTTTTATTTATATGCGTAAGTTTTTGTATTAGCTCGCCAGGTTACTTTTTTTTACTGGGGAGTGTTTACAATGTTATGATACATTGATTAGGAGCCAGATGTAAATCAGCTTCGATACTCCAGGGATTCCGCTCATTTTACACTTTCTGCATCCCTGGAACATGGCATAGCAAAGTTGAACACAAATGGCTAGGTAATTGAGTGGTCTCGGGTGAAAAAAAATGACCAATCGCCAGGCTGATGCCTATCTTGTAAAGATTACAGAAGAGTGACATCCTACGTCAAAGCCAGACAGTTTTACTGTTCCGCGACCACGGGATTTTTTTGATGTACATCAAAGGATCAAACTAGTCTTCTTGTCTCATTCACAAGTTTGCACACACTGAGCCTTTGATTTTTTTCATGACATATTTCCAGGGATGCAGAGAGCAAAAGTAAGCTTAAACTCTGGAGTATCAAGGATGGAGTTAAATGTCTGACAAAGATATGTTGGAATAATTACAAATGAGTGCCAATATTTTGAAGATTAAACCAGGTAGAGTAATCAATTACAGATATTAGTGTAATTTATTTGTTATTATATAAATTCTATTTATTTATTTTACATCAGTTGAAAGAAGTTTTCCAATATAAACATGCACTAATCAACCACTCTTGCTGGCCCAGATGGAAGTGCATAATGGGTCTTAATGTTAGGGGAAACCAGAGTACCCATAGAAAACCTACATTGCTGGGCAGGTGCAGACCCAGTACATTTTCTCATCTCATCAGGGAATTAAACACTGACCAGGTGATAGACAATATTGCTATCCACTGCACCACACGACCTCCTCATTTGTTTATTGCTGTGATTATTTTCATGATGCCTAATGTAAGCTACATACCTCACAAAACTACTAACCTATAACACATTCTCATTTGTGTTCAATAAGAAATAAAGGCATTGGAAGATTTTGTATACATTGATAAAGGGTTGATAGTCAATCTCATTCAAACTAAAATTCAAACTAAAACCTTCACTCTGTTCCTCTACGATACGTTACAATGTTGGGATTGGCAACATAGCCTTGGGGTCATATTCTAGCGTGTTCTAATTTACTTCCGAGATGTGAATGCATACACATTCGTTTTCCAATCATTGAGCATAGAATTTTGACGAAATCGCACGGAATGGCTAGTTTGTATTGCAGTCATGTGCGGTTGTTCAACACTATTGTAGATGAACAATGTGAAGGATTAAGTTTGAATCAGATTGATAGTGTAATTTAGATAAATTTTCAATATCACTTCATCGGGACTTTATTCTTAATTTCATTGTTGTCATTTTTGGCCACATTGTAGAAAGATGCATTTGAATGTCAAAAATACAGATTTGAGGTTGTGCTAGAAGTGAGAAGTAAATATTTGGAAATATTTACACAATTGAAATTTTATCAGTTGCGAATTCAATTTAACTTGCATAATTTCAGGGACAATTTATTTTATTGAAACACTTGTGTATTCTGGGTTATATTCATGGTTACATTAAAATGCAAATCAACAAAACAGTGATAACTTCTATTCAAGTAGCTTAATTATCCAAAAATAATCCCATGCCTGGTAATAAGCTCGCCCTTATCTGCTCATTACAGTTCAGTAGAATTGTCAATTTTGATGTCCTGTAAGAAGCCTACCTCTCCCTGCTATGTGATAGCCCCCTAAGCCTATTAAGACTAAATACAGTAATTCTTCAGATAAATATATCAAAACCACAAATTCATTATTTTTTTGTATATTCCATGTTGTCGTGAGCAAAACTGCAATGTGGATTTTTTTTGTTTATTCTGTATTCCTTATAATTATTTAAATTAATAGATCACATGATATTTATCCCCTTATGATTTTTTTCTCCCCAGCAAACTTGTATCACAACAGTGAGTACTAGTAAGACAACAAATTTTGGAAATGTTGTATTAAGGACCCTTGCACCACTGTCAATAATTCTTCAATGGTGGGATAGTTTAGTCCTTTGTTCCTTGTCTGGATACCCGAACGTATGCAGGGGATTGAGTACAATGGGTACATAGGAAATAGATTTAAGGTTGGAAGCATGGGTTGGTCTTATGGCAGACTCTGTAGACTTCCTGCAGCATATCCCAGGAGATGCAGGGGTTCAAAATCAAATACGTTAAAATAAGGCTAGATTATGTGCCCGCATTTTTAGTACTTCAGGGGTAGAAATATCATATAATTTTGTCGTGAAGAAGCCAATTGTAGGGGTGCAACCGGTGGGCACTTCTAATGAACTACAAGAACTACCTGCTCCTTTGCTTGTTGTGATTGAATCTGTTTTCTGCTGTCAATAATTGTAACTTTGTGTTGGAAACGTTTTCCTGACATGACTTTACTTTTAAAAAGTCTTTTATGAGAAGAAAATCATACCTGGTGGGAGTTTTATGGGGCTAGACCAGCTTTTCAAACTCTTGATCTCTTGTCACTCTAACCAACTGAGTAGGTTACCTGGTCAGCAGAAGAGATCTCTTGCCCAGTCTCACTAAAATTGTATTCATAGAAATTAAGGGAAGGTTAGTGTAGGTAAAATAATAACCCTGAGCTTCTAGTGTTGTACCTGCATTGGGATGAGCATGGTAAATGATATTGTTATCATTAATAATTTGATATGACAATTTCATTCTTCGTGATACATGTATATACTTCAACTATTACAATGGGTTTTTATTGAAGACAATTTCATAATTTGTGTCATGAACATCTTGGAACCAAAAGTGTGGGTTATTTGAATTCATAATCATATTATTAGATATAAAGAAATGCATAATTTTATTCTAAATTCACTGATAGTTGTTTTAGAATGATTGGGTACACGGATATAAAATAGAGACAATGAAACTGTTATTGTATTAATTTATCTGTACTTAAGGCAATGTTGATATTTTATGTGACCAGTCCCGTTCAGTGTTGCAATACATTGTAGATAATGAACTGATTTGTTAATGAGTTACACTAGTTTTAATTTACTGGTTACGGAGAAGTACCTCCATGTGTTCCGTTATATCGCCCTCCTGCCTCAGCATTTAAATCAAAACCTATTTTGTAATCGGTACAATTCAATGATGTTGGGGTTTTTTCATTGGAGAGTACAGGTTACTTTTTATGTTTGCCTCATTGTTCAAGTTGTCATTGTACTATGTTCAAAGTGAAAGTAGATATTTATTGATTGTGCATAATTCCTTGTTAGTATGTATGCAAAGCATAGTATATGTGATAATTTTGTATACAGGGACGTGCTATGAGTCTATCACTTTATATCGTTTTCCCATTGAATTCTATGTTAATTTACCATTTCTTTATAAAACAAATCTACTTTATTTTTGGCCCATTTTCATATAAATTTTGCTCTTAATTTTAAGAATGACTCGGTACTTTTATAAGTCATATTGATACAATTTGAAAAGATTTTGTTGCTTTTGACATCATCCTCATATCACGATGCTATTTTTTTCCATTATTAACTTATTAGTCCTAAGAAACATAAAAATTTGTAAATATTAACTACAGGAGTGCTGGATAATTTTCTATTTGTTTGCCAAATTTCATTGAAATGGAATGAAAAGCAAAGTCAGGGATACTAAAAAAAAAAATATGGAAATAAACATAAAATGCAATTGGAAAAATCAGGTATCATGAAAGATTTATTGCACGTGACCGTAATATGTTTCAGTATTATAGGTGTAGAAACCTACTATGATTTACTCATTTGAACCGTAATATTGTTTTATTAGCTCACCTGGCCTGAAGGCCCAAGTGAGCTTATCCCATGGTGCAGCGTCCGGCGTCCGGCAACTTTTTCCTTTAAAATGCTACTTGTCCTGAATGGCTCAGAGGATTTTGACCAAATTTGGTCAGGAGCATCATTGGCCAAAGGGTTCTCAGTTTTGTATAAACGGAGGGTATAACCCCCCTGGGGGCAGAGGGGCGGGGCNAAAACATCAAATATCCTTCTCCTTTTGTACCGATGAAGGGATTTTGACCAAATTTGGTCTGGAGCATCATTGGCCAAAGGGTTCTCAGTTTTGTATGAACGGAGGGTATGGTCCCCCTGGGGGCAGAGGGACGGGGCCAAATAGGGG